GTAGATCTACGCTCACGTGCGTAGTGCTCCGACCTTTATTTTCCCCATTTGAAAGCATGTAGAAAAACGTAGATCTATGTTTGGAGACCCCCGTACATGGACGTAGATCTAAATTTGGTCAGTTTAAAGGTTAAATGCTGAAGAGAAGACATTATGAGCCAAGCTTTGTTCCTGTATCTATGAATAGGCAGTTACAAAGATAAATTTAGAGGGAAGACAAGGAAGATAAGATTGTGGTAATCAAAGCTAATGCAACTGATGATCAACATACAATTAATCACAATACTTAATTCAATCATAATACTTAGTTCAAAGCCTACAAGTCAATTTTCAATCAATAATAATCTGTAATTTACCTAATGAAACACATTTCATGATTTTTCTTCTATAATTTAGATTCCACACATCAGATTAAATAAGTACATTTCATTTTATAGTATCTTTAAGGTATTTTCTAATGCTTAAGTCTGACTGAAACGCATTGTGCAATCCAGGGATTTTTATAAGAAATAAACAATGTAAATTTACCTTTGTTACTATAATGGTTCTTTCTTGAAAAATCAATTTTGAATCTATATGAAGATTCAATATTCTATATAAAGATTTCTCTTATATATCTGTGAGCTTCTGCTTCACCATATCTTACATTCAAAAAAAAAAATTCTTTAACAAAGGAGAGCCATTTAGAAACCTTTGTTACACTTGCTTCTTGGGATAAAAGGGAAATGTAGATCTTATCTATTCTGGCTAGTCTGCATGGACCCCCTTTCTAGCATGAGCAGCAAGTAGTTCACCTGAGAGGTTATTAGTGGCTATTAGCAGTGGCGTCTCGTAGCGCCAGTAATACCTATACTATCGTACCACATCAAACTTCAATTTTTAATCATTTTTTCTAGTTTCAACAACAAAAAAATAAATAAATAAATAAATAAAAATTCACTTATATACTGAAAACAACATACAACAGATTTTTCCTGTAATAAATTTGTAAGTTGCAAATTATTTTAGCGTAAGGTTGATGAAGTCATACATCTGACAGTGAGCATCTGGGGGGACTGCAGCTCTGCAGCTCCTATGGACAAGCTGCCACTGGCTACTAGTGCTTTGCTTAGATTTAGCAGCTGGCAGTACAAGTGTGAGGCTGCTACTACATTTCTACCATACATTCTTTATTCACCAACTCTAAAATGGGCTCCAAAGCCATAACATGGTAAGACAGCATTAAAATTTTAAAGAAATCAACGTTTTTTTTTAATGTGTAAATTCTTACAAATTTGGCGAGCTTTTATGAATGCACATTGTTTCTGATAGTCACTAATGTAGTGAGTGATGATGATTAACCCTTAAATTGCCCAAACGTAGGTCTATGTTCACTCGAGTGGCACTCCGAATATTTTGGAAAATAAAAAAATAATTTTTTTCTTTTAAAATGAAGAGCACATTTTTCTACATGTTACAGGATTAAAAAAAAAATTTAGGGTCAGTACTTACCGATATAAGACCGTGAAGTTGGCTCTGGATGCTCACCTGTCGGCAATATCGACTCCTGCCACTTGCAAAAGTGTTGCCGATATACCTTTTTTTCCTTGCTTTTATTTTAATTTATATATTTTTTTTATTTTTTTTTTATTATCACACTGGCCGATTCCCACCAAGGCAGGGTGGCCCGAAAAAGAAAAACTTTCACCATCATTCACTCCATCACTGTCTTGCCAGAAGGGTGCTTTACACTACATTTTTTAAACTGCAACATTAACACCCCTCCTTCAGAGTGCAGGCACTGTACTTCCCATCTCCAGGACTCAAGTCCGGCCTGCCGGTTTCCCTGAACCCCTTCATAAATGTTACTTTGCTCACACTCCAACAGCACGTCAAGTATTAAAAACCATTTGTCTCCATTCACTCCTATCAAACACGCTCACGCATGCCTGCTGGAAGTCCAAGCCCCTCGCACACAAAACCTCCTTTACCCCCTCCCTCCAACCTTTCCTAGGCCGACCCCTACCCTGCCTTCCTTCCACTACAGACTGATACACTCTTGAAGTTATTCTGTTTCGCTCCATTCTCTCCACATGTCCGAACCACCTCAACAACCCTTCCTCAGCCCTCTGGACAACAGTTTTGGTAATCCCGCACCTCCTCCTAACTTCCAAACTACGAATTCTCTGCATTATATTCACACCACACATTGCTCTCAGACATGACATCTCCACTGCCTCCAGCCTTCTCCTCGCTGCAACATTCATCACCCATGCTTCACACCCATATAAGAGCATTGGTAAAACTATACACTCATACATTCCCCTCTTTGCCTCCAAGGACAAAGTTCTTTGTCTCCACAGACTCCTAAGTGCAACCACTCACCCTTTTCCCCTCATCAATTCTATGATTCACCTCATCTTTCATAGACCCATCCGCTGACACGTCCACTCCCAAATATCTGAATACATTCACCTCCTCCATACTCTCTCCCTCCAATCTGATATCCAATCTTTCATCACCTAATCTTTTTGTTATCCTCATAACCTTACTCTTTCCTGTATTCACTTTCAATTTTCTTCTTTTGCACACCCTACCAAATTCATCCACCAATCTCTGCAACTTCTCTTCAGAATCTCCCAGGAGCACAGTGTCATCAGCAAAGAGCAACTGTGACAACTCCCACTTTTTGTGTGATTCTTTATCTTTTAACTCCACGCCTCTTGCCATTTACTTCTCTTACAACCTCATCTATAAATATATTAAACAACCACGGTGACATCACACATCCTTGTCTAAGGCCTACTTTTACTGGGAAATAATTTCCCTCTTTCATACATACTCTAACTTGAGCCTCACTATCCTCGTAAAAACTCTTCACTGCTTTCAGTAACCTACCTCCTACACCATACACCTGCAACATCTGCCACATTGCCCCCCTATCCACCCTGTCATACGCCTTTTCCAAATCCATAAATGCCACAAAGACCTCTTTAGCCTTATCTAAATACTGTTCACTTATATGTTTCACTGTAAAACACCTGGTCCACACACCCCCTACCTTTCCTAAAGCTTCCTTGTTCATCTGCTATCCTATTCTCCATCTTACTCTTAATTCTTTCAATAATAACTCTACCATACACTTTGCCAGGTATACTCAACAGACTTCTCCCCCTATAATTTTTGCACTCTCTTTTATCCCCTTTGCCTTTATACAAAGGAACTATGCATGCTCTCTGCCAATCCCTAGGTACCTTACCCTCTTCCATACATTTATTAAATAATTGCACCAACCACTCCAAAACTATATCCCCACCTGCTTTTAACATTTCTATCTTTATCCCATCAATCCCGGCTGCCTTACCCCCTTTCATTTTACCTACTGCCTCACGAACTTCCCCCACACTCACAACTGGCTCTTCCTCACTCCTACAAGATGTTGTTCCTCCTTGCCCTATACATGAAATCACAGCTTCCCTATCTTCATCAACATTTAACAATTCCTCAAAATATTCCCTCCATCTTCCCAATACCTCTAACTCTCCATTTAATAACTCTCCTCTCCTATTTTTAACTGACAAATCCATTTGTTCTCTAGGCTTTCTTAACTTGTTAATCTCACTCCAAAACTTTTTCTTATTTTCAACAAAATTTGTTGATAACATCTCACCCACTCTCTCATTTTTTTATGTTCTGATAATTACAATTTATAATAGTTCTTGTAATTTCATAGCCAATCTTTGTTCTGACACTAATATTAAGTACTGAAATATTGCTCAAATAGTCACAATCACATTGACAGGTGAACATTTACACCTCCTTGGGTTATTTACTATTGTCTAGAAATATATACTAAGTATTTATAGGTCCCAGCAATGTTTTAGATATCCTGGCATATACCTTGAAGCATGTTGTTATGAAAGGCATCCCTATACTGTTGACACCCCAGTGACATTTGATAAATGCCCACTGCTCCAGCTAACCCTCGCTGTATTTGTTATCACTTACACACAAACATGACTTGTCTCTCCGTCTGTTTATCTGTCTGCCTGTCTATCTGTCTCTATCTGCCTGCCTGTCTGTCTCTGCTTATCTGTCTTTCTGTCTGCCTGGAGTATATGTATATCACACTCCTTGAAGAATGTTATGACATCTGTTATCAGCTCGGTGACATTTGATAAATGGGTGCTGGGGGAACCCTGGCTTTATTTGTTTTCACTGACACACACAAACATGTTTCTGTCTATCTATCTGTCTGTCTAACTTTGCCTGGAAATTTTGGGTTATCCTAGGTAATTGACACTAGGTATAATGACTGTACTTATGTGTACATGTGAGACAGAGATATAGACAGATATAGATAGACAGAAATATAGAGATATAGACAGAGAAACAGCCTGAGACAGCCAAAGCAAGCCAGCCAGCCAGCCTGCCGAATACATAAGAAGTAACACTGCAGCAGGCTTACTGACCCATGCAAGGCAGGTACATGTCACCCTCCCCCCCAGCTTAGACCAATGACCCACCTAGTCAGGTCACATCCAATGAAGGAAGGAGCATGACATCAGACCTAGTAGCACAAGCTAGTCAGGTCCAACTCACACCCACCCAGACTCACTCATGTATTTATCTCACCTGTGTTTACTTTCCTCTTAAAATGGGAGTGTTAATGTGATATGGCATCAGTGAATCCCTGGTGTTTGCCTCGCTATTTGCTCTAGCTGGCACTCAATTGAGCTGGTGCTCCCACAAGGTACTAAGTGCTCCCAGATTTTTTGAATAGTTTACCTGAGTGAACAGACCCATTCTTTCATGTCTAGGTAACTCAAGCCTATTGTGCCAAATTTGAAGGAATGAAAAATAAAACCTTGATCTACGTTTGGAGCGCTATGTGTGCAAACGCAGATCTACGTTTGGACAGTTTAAGGGTTAATATTTCAAGGTGTGAAGATACAGCCACACACTATCGAGGGAGTGCACATGCACTCTAAAAATACAATGCAGTGGCACTCGGCACATACTAATTCTGAGAGTGTACATTATGTTGCACACTGCTGAAACTATATATCTGCAATGTTTCTGTCATTTATATGGCTTATTAAATCACTGGATGATGAAAGGATGAACTGCAAAAGAAAAGGAACCAAAGATTAGCAAAAATTGACATTACCATTTTTTGAAACATCTTTGACCTATTGGTGAGCTTTAACTACAAAGACAATAATATTTTCAGGTAAGCTATCAGAGTAATAATAATAATATAATAATAATGTAATAATAATAATAATATTAATAATAACAATAATAATAATAATAATTATACAGTGGACCCCCGACTTACGATGGCCTCAAACAACGATAAAACCGACTTACGATGCTTGTCAGCGTAAAAATTTGACCCCGACCTACGTTGAAAAACTCGACTTACATCATCCTGAACGTGGCTGTCTGGCCCATGTGGCCTGAGCGCCTTAGCTGAGCTAGAGCCAGGGTGGACGGTTGCACGCATACATTCGATAAATTTTGTATTTTTCCATTGTTTTTAGTGCTTGTAACTGCTAAATAAGCCACCATGGGCCCAAAGAAAGCTTCAAGTGCCAACCCTGTGGTAAAATGGGTGAGAAATACTATCAAAATACTATCATACCATGGTCAGCTGCTGTTGCTGCTATACCACGGTTAGCTGCTGCTGCACCACGGTCAGCTGCTGCTGCTGCTGTAGCACCATCAGCTGCTGCTGCTACTGTAGCACCATCAGCTGCTGCTGCTGCTGTAGCACCATCAGCTGCTGCTGCTGCTGTAGCACCATCAGCTGCTGCTGCTGTAACACCGTCAGCTGCTGCTGTTGCTGTAGCACCGTCAGGTGCTGTTGCAGCTGTACCATGGTCAGCTGCTGCTGCTGCACCATGGTCAGCTGTACTACTCGAAGATGTGGAGAGACTGTTTGTTGGTGTGGCTTATCGAGAATACTGAGTAACAACCCCAAAGGGTTCTCCACCCAGGATAACCCAAAAAAGTCAGTGTGTCATCGAGGACTGTCTAACTTATTTCCATTGGGGTCCTTAATCTTGTCCCCCAGGATGCGACCCACACCAGTTGACTAACACCCAGGTGAACAAGAAAAAATGCCTGGAACTAGTGCTCATAATGGTGAATTTAAGGCCAGCAAAGGTTGGTTTGAGAGATTTAAGAATCGTAGTGGCATACACAGTGTGATAATGCCTGTTCTGGAAGAAAATGCCAAACAGGACCTACAATACTCAGGAGAAAAAGGCACTCCCAGGATACAGTGTCTCATCACTCATCACCACATCTTCAATAAAGGTAAGTGTCATTTATTCTTCATTTAGTGCACTAGTACATGCACAATATATATTGTGCATGTATCCTTCTTTTTGTGTGTAGGAAAATGTATATTTCATGTGGTAAAAATATTTTTTTTGTACTTTTGGGTGTCTTGAACGGATTAATTTGATTTCCATTATTTCTAAAGGGGAAAATTAATTCGACTTATGATAATTTCATCCTATGATGTGCTCTCTGGAACGGATTAATATCCTAAGTCAGGGGTCCACTGTAATAATAATACATAATTATTAATAATAATGTGATTACACCTACCATCCAACTTACGACCGAGTTCGGTTCCGAGAAACCGACCGTAAGTCGAAATGGTCGTAAGTCGAACTGTATTTTATACTGTAAGGTTTAGGATAAACACTGTGTACAACACAAATAGTTGTTTATTTCCCAGAAATTTGGCATAAAAAACACGGTCGTAAGTCAAGTGGTTGTAAGTCGAGCAGGTCATAAGTCGGATGGTAGGTGTGTTATTATATTCATAAAAACACTAAATTTAGTTTTACTGTACATGCATTTTCAATTTTCAGTTCACCATCAAAGACAAAGAATGCAAGGTAAAAATTCAACTAAACTACTCAATACAGGGTTCCTCGTAATCGTAAGCCAATATTTTAAATTTTTTTTAAAATTGTAACGTTTTTTTTCGTCAAAACTTTGGCTCCAAATTTTGTTTGTCCGGGAAACCGGTACTCACCTCTGAGCGCCCGCCCCCATTTTCCCCAGCCAGTGTGCCATTTTTTTTCCATGGCGACATCCCTCATTGTTTTTAGAAAATTTCAAAAATTCATTACTTTAGGCTTGAACTGCTAAATAAGCTCCCAGGGCTACAAAAAGCACTAGTACCAAACCCTTTGGTAAAGAAGGTGAAAAATACGATTAAATTTTAAAAAAACTCATTGAACAAAATGAAAGTGGTGTACGTTGGGGAACTGGCCAGGTTTTTAAAAAACCCCATACAACCATAGCTTTTCCCCCATGGCCAAAAAAAAGGGAAATCAAGGAAGCTGTTTTTGCAAAGGGGGTAAATATGCTGACAAAAAAGAGTCACCCGTACCGAAGATGTTGGGGAATTTTATTGGTTGGTAAACAAGAAAACAATTAGAAGGAGTAGTCTTATGAAAGTTTTTTATTTGTGAAAAGGTAGGCATTTTCACACGATTGGAAAGAAATTTCCGCAACGTACTGAAAATTTTTGAATTTAGGCCCAAAAAAATTTGGTTTGGAGACTTTAAAAACCTAGTGGCAACATAGTGGATAAGGGATGGTGAGGGGGCCAGTTTGGACAAAACTTATAGTAAGGGAATTGGGGGAGTATTTCCAGGATTTGAAAACCCTCTTCGAGAAAATTTTCCAGAGTTACAGGGGGGAGATGGCCACCAGTTGGAAAACCTTTTTTGGGCATTGGGGATTTATGGGGTTTTGCAGTGATTTTAGAGGAAAAATGAAAGTTGGGGAGGACCAAAAAGGCTAACAAAAGGGAAATTTGCAGGAACATGGACCAGTAGAATTTTCCTCGGAAGAGGAAGGGAGATGGAAAATTTCCTTCTTCAAAAATTGGGATTTTTGAAAATTGGGTAATAAAGTTTGGGAAACAACCCCCCTCCAAACTTTGCCCCAAACCCTTTCAACTTAAAAAAATCTTCCCAAAGGAAGTTTTAAAAAGGGGCGGAAAACAACCTCGGACCTTTTTTTGGAGACAAATCCCGTACCTCAAATTCCCTGGGTTTAAGGAAACGAGAAAAAAGTAACCCCAGAAAAAAATTGGGCCTTTGGGGGTTAAAAAAGGGGGGTTTCCCCTAAAAATTGTCTTCCAATTCTTTCCTAGTTTAAAAAGAAGAAACCCAAAAAGGTAAAAGAGCTGAAGCTTCACAGGCCCCCTTTTAGTTTTTTGTACTAATTTTTTTCTGAAAAAAAAATTTTTTTTTAATTTTCTTCAGAAAAATTTTTGTTTTAATTAAATTTTTTTGGGAAAAACGTTTGAAACATCAATTTCGATAATAGTTACCCTTCCAGGAACGGATTAATAACGAAAAACGAGGGACAACTGTACAGCCAAACCAGATCGTGGACCAAGTTGACCAGTCAGGAAAGAGAAAGTCTTGAAACAACTTTGGAGAATGTCTATTTTGATGAAAGGGATAAAATTACATCACAAGAAAAAGCTGACAGCGAGTGTTACCAAAAGGCTACAACAGATGAAAACATTAGAGAACTGCATTCACAATTTTTGGGACGTGTAACTGCTACTTTGAGCTCGGCTAAAAGTACTTCTTGTTCCATTTTGGAATTTTTTGACCAAACGGATATTGATGCTATTGAATTGCAAGTTAATATAGGTCCTAAAGGAGGAGTGAGAAGAATAACCGAGCAAGACTTCCAGAGATCACTGCAGTGATAAATCTGCCTTCTTCATTTAAACCTTTAAACTGTGTCCAACATACTAGTACAAAACTGATGATTGTGTCCAACATACTAGTACACAACTGATGACTTTGTCCAACATATTAGTATGGAACTGATGACTTTGTCCATCATAATAGTACACAACTGATGACTGTGTCCAACATACTAGTACACAACTGATGACTGTGTCCAACATACTAGTACACAACTGATGACTTTGTCCAAAATATTAGTATACAACTGATGACTTTGTCCACCATAATAGTACACAACTGATGGCTGTGTCCAACATACCAGTACACAACTGATGACTTCGTCCAACATACTAGTATACAACTGATGACTGTGTCCACCATAATAGTACACAACTGATGACTGTGTCCAACATACTAGTACACACCTGATGACTGTATTCAACATACAAGTACACAACTGATGACTTTGTCCAACATACTAGTACACAACTGATAACTGTGTCCAACATACTAGCACACAACTGATGACTGTGTCCAACATACTAGTACACAATTGATGACTTTGTCCAACATACTAGTAGACAACTGACGGCTGAGTCCAACATACTAGCACACAACTGATGACTGTGTCCAACATACTAGTACACAACTGATAACTGTGTCCAAAATACTAGTACATAACTGATGACTGTGTCCAACATACTAGGACACACAACTGATGTCTGTGTCCAACATACTAGTACACAACTGATGACTGTCCAACATACTAGTACACACAACTGATGACTGTGTCCAACATACTAGTACACAACTGATGACTGCATCCAACATACTAGTACATACAACTGATGACTGTGTCCAACATACTAGTACACACAACTGATGACTGTGTCCGACATACTAGTACACACAACTGATGACTGTGTCAACATACTAGTACACACAACTGATGACTGTGTCCAACATACTAGTACACAACTGATGACTGTGTCCAACATACTAATACACACAACTGATGACTGTGTCCAACATACTAGTACACACAACTGATGACTGTGTCCAACATACTAGTACACACAACTGATGACTGTGTCCAACATACTAGTACACAACTGATGATTGTGTCCAACATACTAGTACACAACTGATGACTGTGTCCAACATACTAGTACACACAACTGATGACTGTGTCCAACATACTAGTACACACAAATGATGACTGTGTCCAACATACTAGTACACAAATGATGATTGTATCCAACATACTAGTACACAACTGATGATTGTGTCCAATATACTAGTACACAACTGATGAGTGTCCAATATACTAGTACACACAACTGATGACTGTGTCCAATATACTAGTACACACAACTGATGACTGT